TACACGACGAGTTTTCTTTGCAAAAAATATACTAATGAGGAACTCATTTGCATGAGTCGCGATCTCATTTGCATATTTTCCGCTGATCCATTTTTGCCTAGCCTAGGGGTTTTTGAAAAGAAAACATTCGCACTGCTTGTTTTTGCACAAAAACCCCTAGGAAAAATGGATCGGCAGAAAATATGCAAATGGCATCATGACTTATGCTAATGAGTCCCTCATTAGCATATTTTTTGCCAAGCATACTCGTAGTGTAGCCATTGCAAAAGCAACAGTTCAATGGGCAATCGTGCATGGCCTTTTCCACTGGGTGGGGTTGCAACTTCTTTGGAGGATAGGGACATAATTCAAAATGACCTTAGCAAGTTAGAGAAATGGTCGGAGGTAAACAGGATGAGGTTTAATAAGGAGAAATGCAGAGTGCTCCACTTAGGAAGGAACAATCAGTTCCATACATACAAGATGGGAAGCGACTGTCTAGGAAGGAGCATGGCGGAAAGGGATCTAGGGGTCATAGTGGACCACAAGTTGAATATGAGTCAACAGTGTGATGCTGTTGCCAAAAAAGCAAATATGATTCTAGGTTGTATTAACAGGTGTGTTGTAAGCAAAACTCGTGAAGTCATTCTGCCGCTCTACTCTGCGCTAGTTAGGCCTCAGCTGGAGTACTGTGTCCAGTTCTGGGCGCCACATTTCAAGAAAGATGTGGAGAAATTGGAAAGGGTACAGAGAAGAGCGACAAGAATGATTAAAGGTCTAGAGAAGCCTATGAAGCCAGGCTTCATGAACTGGGCTTGTTTAGTTTGGAAAAACGAAGATTAAGGGGGGACATGATAGTGGTTTTCAAATATCTAAAAGGGTGTCACAAGGAGGAAGGAGAAAATTTGTTTCTCTTGGTTTCTGAGGACAGGACAAGGAGTAATGGGCTTAAAGTGCAGCAGGGGAGGTTTAGATTGGACATTAGGAAAAAATTCCTAACTGTCAGGGTGGTCAAATATTGGAATAAATTGCCAAGGGAGGTGGTGGAATCTCCCTCTCTGGAGATATTTAAGAACAGGTTAGATAGACATCTGTCAGGGATGGTGTAGACGGAGCTTGGTCCTGCCTTGAGGGCGGGGGGCTGGACTCGATGACCTCTCGAGGTCCCTTCCAGTCCTATGATTCTATGATTCTATGAAATCTTGTGAGGGAATCGGAGCTCAGCAAAAGGAGGGCCTCATTCTGCAGACGGGCGCTATCTGCCCCGGTTGGTACCGGCCCCTCGGCTCAGAGCGCGCAGGGCCGTAGGAGAAACAGCCAAATTGGCAGGGGGTTCTTAGTAGGAATCTCTGGCAGCAACCCGCCCCCCCAGCCGTACCTTTCGTGGTTTCGCTCTCCCTGACGAGGAAAGACCCGATTTTGTTGCCAGGCGCCATCAGCAGCCGCTCGGCTTCTTTTCTGCTGAGCGCGTTAAAATACCACCTGCGGGAGAAGAGGCCCAGAGCTGTTATGAGGCACTCTGCAGAGGCCCAGCCTGCCTAGTGGTTATCTCCCATTGAAATGATGCACGCCGTGTTTAACCTAGCAAAACGGAGGCTGGGAGGGGGCATCGTTGCTCTGTAAAAATACATCATGGGAGGGGGAAGAGCTATTTAAGTGACAGGACAGAATTGCCGGGCCCCTGGGCAAGGTGGTGGGTGGGGCTCCGTTCCGCGCTCCCCAAAGGGGCGGAGCCTCAGACAGAGGGGGCGGGGCTGCAGGGTAGCCTTCTCCCGTTAGCCCTTCAGCCCAAAGTCCAGTGGTGGTAACCAGGAGCCCCCCCTTTTGAGGAGCCCAGAAGCCCCCGGGACAGTTGCCCTTTTGCCCTGCCCCCCATCAGTGGGTCTGTCAAAAGACAATGGGGCTAAACTGGTCATGAATAAATTCAGGCTGGAATTTAGAAGACGCTTTCCAGCCCTCTCTGTAGAAGTAGTGGCCCTAGACTAGCTGCCAGCAACTGGCGCCCTAGGTCAACCATGCAATCGGCGCCCCCACCTCCAATCCCCTCAATGATATTCCACCACCATTTGGTGCCCCATTTAAATTAGCACCCTAGGAGACCGCCTAGTTTGCCTATATGGATGGGCCACCCTGAGTCATGGGGACACGCCACCTCACAAGCTGTAAGATGGAGCTGGTAGGCTGATGAACAGGATTGTGTGAGGTGATTGTAACAGCCAGGGACTGTGGACTCAACCCAAGCAATCCTTTTCAGTCCTAAGTTGGAGGACCCTGTGTCTAGCACCGACTACATTTCCGAACGGTTTTAGGTGGGGTAGAGTCCTTTACTGTAACATTTTCAACAGATGAGGGCCAGAGTTCTGTTCACTTTGGGCACGTCTACACTAGGAAATTATTTCAAAATAACGTTTAATAACTCCCGAAATAACAAAATCGAATTAGCGAAAGGAAGCCTTGAAATTAGACCGAGGCTACAGGGAAGCCTCGAAATGAGTCCAAGGCAGGCTCCCTTAACGTGGCCTTCAACGTAAAGCCCCAAGAAGCATGGGGGAGTAATTACTTTGAATGACTCTGGGGAGTCGTTATTTCGAAACAGCAGCTGCGGCGCATCCACTCTCCCGCTATTTCGAAGTAACTCTTTAGAAAGAAGCGTTCTTTCTCGTTATTTCGAAATAACCAGCCCCTGGTTTGGACATAATGGGCTTGGTCGTGCGGACGCGCCGCTTGTTATTTCGAAATAAGGGGAGTTATTTTGAAGTAACTCCCTCACATAGACCGGGGCGTAGAGTCCAAATATCAGTGCGAACGCACGCCCCAAGGGAAAAGCCTGTGGCGATTCTTTGACAAGTTCAGGGTACGGCTTCGCTTCTCTGGCTTCCAAGCGATCGTTGTGTGGGGCGGCCCAAGAGCCGTCACGTTCTAAAGACGAGGCGCTGATATTAGGGCACCTACTTTTCCATTTCCAAGGTATCCACTCGTGCGACGAAGTTACTGGGGATGTAGCCTTTCCTCCCAGTGGTGAGAGACTCTGCCAGCCACCAGTCTCCATCTCTGCAAATCAAACAAGACACGGCGCATGAACGCCCAACGGAGCTTCTGCCTCAGCCTTGCCTGAGGCTGCTCAGGGCTGCGGAAGCTTCTGGAAGCTTGCAAAGGCGGCGCGGCGCTCCACATACCGCTGCCCAGAGGACGTCCGCACCGCAGCTGCGCGGCGATCGAGCCCACGTGCTAGAAATAGCCGGGTGCCGGCAGCAGCCCTGTCTGAGGTTGTAGGTCCGTGCCGCTGTGGCCACGCAGCTGTTTTTAGCATGAACTGGCACCCAGCAGTCTCCCCACGCTGGGAATTGCGCCTCCTGGTGGCTGTGCGGACAGATCCCCGTTTCTATCAGCCCCCCCAGCTTGGAGGCTGGTTAGAAAGGCAACCCGTAAAGACACTGGTCTCTTCAACCCTGAGCAAGTGGGTGTTTTTCACTTCCCACCTCCGTCCCAGACAGAGACTCGGGCACTGTCTTCAATTCCTCATCTGTTCCTCGCTGCTGCTTCCTTTATTGCATTAGGCAGCTCTCCGTGTTGGCTGCTCGGAGCGCCTTCCGAAACCCTGGGGGCACCCCAGAAAATACTGAAACCCACTCTCATTAGCTGGATGTTCACCACCTGTCACAACTGAGTGGTGTAAGGCAAGTGTCTGAACCAAAAACATCCACCAAAGTCACGAACCCCCTTTGGGACAACCTCACAAGACAACAATCCCTCCAAAGTTTTTCAAACAAAGTCAACAAAATCCACCCTAAACTGGCTAGGTCCTGGCCTTTCTTCAAAGGGAAACCAAACCCACATCCTTTTGAAGGCAAAGATCAGCCCACGCTGTGCCCACGTACACAGCTGACAAGTTGTTATTTATGCTACCTTAGCCTTTCTGAGTATCAGCTGACAGCAGGGCCATGTTGTTCGGCGCTGCCCATGAGCATGGGAAAAACAGTCCCTGAGCGAGAGTGCTTTTAAACTCAATTGGCTCAAGAGGTGTTATCATCCCCGTTCTACAGATAGGGAGCCAAGTGACTTCCCAAGATCGCAGCGCTCGTGTGGAAAGAACATAAGCACTAGGGGTCACCAAATGAAATTCATAGGAAGCAGGTTTAAAACAAACAAAAGGAAGTATTTGTTTGCCTAGCACACAGCCAACCTGTGGAACTCCTTGCCAGAGGATGTTGTGAAGGCCAGGACTATAACAGGGTTCAAAAAAGAACTAGATACATTCATGGAGGTGAGGTCCATCAATGACTATTAGCCAGGAGGGGTGGGAATGGTGTCCCTAGCCTCTGTTTGTCAGGAAATGGGTGACAGGGGAGGGATCACTTGATGATTTCCTGTTCTGTTCTCTCCCTCTGGGGCACCTGGCATTGGTCACTGTCGGCAGACAGGACCCTGGGCTAGATGGACCTTTGGTCTGACCCACTGTGGACGAAGCACCGAACCCCAGCCTCGGAAGTTTTGGAAAGGCTTCTCCAGCAAGTGCTGCGGATGAGGGTCACTTACCTATTCAGGATTTGAAGTTTCTCTCCCTTGACCAGCTCCAAGTCGCGGTCACTGGTGGAGGTGAACTCGTACAGTGCAATCACAATGTTCTCATCTGCTGTAAGGGAAAAGGACACGCCTGGGGTTAGGTGGCCCCCCACGGAGGGGATGAACTCGGCACGCGGTGCGTGGATATGAGAAAAGCCCAACCCCTCTCTTCTCCCACTTCCCTTGGTCGCTGCGGGACCCTCCCAGCCTCTCCAAAGACACCCTCGGCCTTCTCTTTCATTCAAGACTCTCGCTAGCCCCGCACACCGAGCCCACATTTAAATCTCGTCTCGACGTTGTGCACATCTCAGAGCCGGGTCTGCGCTGGCAGCAGCGTGTCGGGAATGAGAAGTTGCTATGAAAAGCAGGCTGTGCCCACACAGCAGTGTGATGCCACAGTGAAAGCCTCTGGCAGAGAGGAGGTGGCAAAGGAAAAGTTCCCACAGCTTCCCCCCGCTGGATCCTTTT